AAAAAAAAGCAATTGTGAACTCGATATTGATTAATCGATAATGCTTCCACGCGGTCGTTTGGATGGACGAACGTGGTTTCTCGCTCTGCCTCGCTGCTGCCGTGCCCCATTCCACGCCGCTCGCTCCTCACCGCCGCAGTCGCGCTCCCCCAACCCGCGCCTCTCGCTACTTGCTGCGGTCGCGCGCCCTCGACCAGGCAACCGCTCCTCGATCGGGCCGCGCCCCTGCTCCTCTGGTGTGCTCCCCCGACCTGGCAGGCACTGGCCTGGCTGTGTTGGCCGCGCATGCTACGACTGTGCGTTGGGCCGGCCGTGTGGCGCCACGCCCTGGCTGACCTAGATGGCCGCCATTGCTGCCTCCTTCTCCACCGCGACATGTGCAGTTGCATCCCGTTGTGCAGTGCTCTGTCCGGACACCCACCTAATAAGTTTTGATGAAAGCGCATGTTGCAAGTTCTCTTTCTGTTGTTTCAAATGTTTTAAAGGTATGTTGTAAGTGTTTTATATAGATGTTCGAAAAGTAGATCGAGATGTTGCATATGTTGCAATAGTTGTACACGTATGTTGCAAGCGTCTGTTTCCAATATTTCATATGTTTTTCAGACATATGTTGCAAGTATGTTTATCTGGATGTTGTCTATGTTTTACACATATGTTGCAATATATGTTGTGTATGTTTGCAATGGTTTTCAAGTGTTTTTAGGTGTTTTGCAAGTGTTTCAGACGCATGTTTCAAGTGTTTCATTTGTCTTCAAACGTATGTTGTGTTGCAAGTGTCTGTTCCCAATATTTCATCTATTTTTTCAGACGTATGTTGCAAGTATGTTTATCTGTATGTTGCATATATTTCACACATATGTTGCAAGTGTTTTATTTAGATGTTGCGTATGTTTGCAATGGTTTTCAAGTGTTTTTAGGTGTTTTTGTAAGTGTTTCAGACGTATGTTACAAGTGCTGCATCTGGATATTTTAAAAGTAGATCAGATGTTGCATATGTTGCAATGCCGTTAGTGGTTGGCGGACATAGTGGGCTGCCGCAGGGCTTCGGCTCCTTCCTCGCGCGGCGTGCCTCACCCTCTCCTCTCCCCCCTCCCTTCCCTTCCCTCCATCTTGATAGAGGCAGTTCGAGCTTGATGAGCGCGATGACGTGGACGCCCGACGAACGCGATGCCCACGGAGGTGGTGGCCTGACGAGCGTGCGGAGGTGGTGGCCTCGGGTGGGCCGATGGCGGCCCGATGCCCACGTGGTGGCCCCGCAGCAATATGAGGTCCGCGCCATCTGCTCGCTACGCACGGGAAATAGAGCAGCCACGTCTGGGCGCTAGTCCAACCTTGATTAATATATACTCGGTGTCCCATGTGCTTCAAACTTGATGAAAATGGAGTCACCTTTTTTTTTCAAATGCAAATGCGCAAAGGAAATATGGGGAGCATTTTAGTTCAAACACCGAAGATGGAGGTGCTGCGAATTCCTTTTGATTTATGATCCAGAGATGAGTGTAGTGCATTGACTATACATAAGCTAGGTTCGCTTCTCTTATAATCCGTCATTTTCAGCTTATTTTTTTTAATTGAAATAATATTTTTCTCTTAAAATAAATCAGCTGGAACAGTATTTCGGCTCGTTTTTTCAGCGAAGCGAGCGGAACCTAGATTCTACCTAGTACAGTACAGTACGTACACGTTTGGGGACGTGCGCTGTGCTATGGTACAGCAGCATCACGCTCGCGCTAGGGTCCAGTTTAGTTTGCAAAAAAATTTGCAAAATTTTTCACATTCCCTATCACATCGAATCTTTGGACGCATGCATGAAGCATTAAATATAAATAAAAAATAAAACTAATTACACAGTTTAGATGAAATCCACGAGACGAATCTTTTAAGCCTAATTAGACTATGATTAGACACCATTTACCAAATAACAACGAAAACGTTATAGTACTCATTTTGCAAAATTTTTTTGCATCTAAACAAGCCCTATGCTGCGTAGCGAATTCGAGAGGCAGTGGAATGAAAAGCGAGAGGGGAAGAGGGGGACTAGGGAACGCGCAAGATCCGGGCGACCTGACCGCAGATCTTCGAGCGAGCCTGCGTCGACGACGCGGTCGCGGCGCACGCCGCGCAGGCAGACAGACCTGACGCCCTTCACGTCCGTGTCCGTCCCGTCCCTCCTCCTGTGGTCGCTGTGGCTGCCTACGACTCCTGTCCGCCGCTGTCCCCGCCCTGCCTCCCGGCCCCTCACCTAGCCGGCCGGCCGGACGGACGGACTCCCCCAAACAATTCGAGTTGCATTGCATGCAAGCTGCGCCAGAGCAGCAGCAGCTCGGACAGGCAGGTTGCGAGGCCCAGCAACGACAACGAGTCTTCCCAGGAGCTCATTCAGGACGGCAGGACGGACCGGTGTACGTACGCAACTGGAATTTTTCGTAGCTCATGTGGGATTTTTCTCTGAAAACATCTGCATTTTTTTTTTGTAAAATCGAATTAATTTGTTTCGCGAAAAAAGTTAGTTTATATAAATTTCTATAACATTTCTATGAAATTCCTCTGAGGACAGAATGAGTGCAGGGAAGGTGCAGATGATCAGGGTTGGTCCTGGTCCATGATCTCTATCTGAGAGTACTCTCTCTATTCTAAAAGAAAGACAATTTTCATATCCCGACAGGGCAAATAATTTTAAATTTAAATTAGTTTTTTATAAAAATATATTAATATTTATGATACCAAATAAATATTATCAGATAATTATGAAATATGTTTTCATAACAAAACTATTTAAAGACATAAGTGTTGATAATTTTATAAATTTAGTCCATCTTAAACAAGTTTGACTTATTCCAAACCTAAAATCACATTCTTTTTTGACAAGGGAGTAAAAGATTTGGCGATGTTCCATTCTGTTAAGTAAGTTCGTGTTTTAATTTATTCCGATTATCTTCACGTTTCGTTGAGATAACTATATATATTGAGTCTCGTGCGTCTATATTAGATGGGCCTTCGTATACTTAGCACCCCTTCAAATTTAAGGTGAAAGTGGAGGATGCGAAGCATTGAGCGTGATCGAGTGAAATCGATGCTACTATCTAGTCTGTGCTTTAGTGGAGAAATCAGACAACAAGAGCCCAGAAGCCACAATACCGAAGAGCAATGGCTTTAGGGTGACAATGAGACGGAGTAAAGAAGGCATGAACACTGATATGTTTAGTAAGCTCATGCTTCACGGATCATTCGCAATTTGTATAGCTCCTGTATTGTCACAGAGAAGAGGTGTGTCGACATCACAAGAAATTCCAAAATCAACCAACAACCATCGAAGCCATACAATCTTTGAAGTAGTAGTGGCAAGTGTACTGGAGCGAGATACAACTGCCTATTTCTTGGACTTCCATGCAATAGGAGAAGAGCCAAGAAGAATACAATATTCTCTGATAGAACGATTTTCTGTTGGGTCACTTGTCCAAGTGGAGTCCAAGTAAGCATAGGGCTAAAGCGGACTATTATGAACATAAAATAAACATTGAGATAGTGTCCCCTTAAGTATGTAGCACACAAAGTAAATATCCAAAATGAATAGACTTCCTGTGTCTCTTTTTATCCGTCGTTCTCACTTCCCCAGAAGTTCAATGTACCTAAATTTTACTAAATGTATAAAATAAAATATTTATATTACATAATTAGTATAAGTAGACAGATCATTGCATCCATATTCAAAATAAATTTATTGGAGATATAAATGTTGCTAATATTTTCTACAAACTTAGTTAAACTTGAGAAAGTTTGACTGGCACGATTCCCACAACAACACTTAAAAAGTGGTTATGGCCCCGGCTTACCCCATATTCGGCTTATTCGGCTTGTTTTTTCAGCCGGAACCGTGTTTTTCTCTCACAACAATTCAGCCAGAAAAATATTTTTCAACCAAGATTCAGCAAGTCGAACGGGGCCATAGGGAGTAAGTCACAAACTAGCTCAAAATATGGACTGCATGAACAATATCGGTCTGGTAACAATGAGATGAATAAGGCACAATATGTCTATATCTAGAGAGATCTGCAAGAGTTGTACCATCTATAAAGTTGCAAGTGAAGATCCATGGGTACGGCAGGTACAACCACGTGGTGAGAGATAATAAATAGAGAAGGGTCATCGTCGCTAGGTGTGAAATCAGTAGCCTTACACTCAAACCAAGCAAAGGAGCTTGTTGAAGACTATAAAAATAATGACGAAGCCGACAAACATAACCTAAAGGAGTATAGAGACCCAGAGGTGGTTGCAAACAAATTTCATTCAAATCACCACGAAGAAAAACATTCTAACATTCATCTAAGATATGCCCAAGAACAAGCAGCAGCCAGCTTCCCATTATTGCACGGCTGCAGCCGCAAGATATGCGCAATAGGAGAAACTGTTGGAAATGTGTGTACATGTTGCAGGTGCAGCAAGGACAACCGATCAGGCTCGATCCCTGATCGGCTGCCATGAACGTATACACACAACTGCAACAGTTTCTCACAAATCTTGCAGCTGCAGCCGCTGCAGCTGTGCAGCAATGGGAAGCTAGTAGGCCAGATTCTGGCAGAACACAAAGCACCGGCAGAACACAAAGTGTTGCACAGAACTGACAGCTTCCAGTATCCTTTGCAGCAAACAAACCGATAAATGCGAATTACTGATTTATTATTTCTATACGATTGAGGCTAGACAGACAATCTATAGTCGCGCTCTAGTAACTCCATTATACCATGGTGCGCCGAAAATACAGGGTAAAGCTATTTACATCATTACTATCTGGAGTCAAAAGGTTACCCATTTTACCCTTCTGATATGAGCGAGCAGGAGACCTGATTAGCAGAAACAACAGTTCGACTACACTTCCATTCTTCAGGGTATGGACTATGGATGCTAAGGCTTGATCGGACTGACCACAGTTGAGTCGCAGGGCATCAGGGGACAATGTTCATTCAGTATTTGCAACTTCTCAGAGTTCCCCTTGGGTTGTGCTAATAGCACTCACTGAAGCAGAAAAAGAAGTCCCTTGGCTTGTCTTCCTTCTTGTCCTTTGGCGTGTTGCCGAGGTCACCCCGAGAAGCCATTATTGAGCTCGTCCCTGGAGATTCTGGAGGAAGGATTGTGTTCTCCGAACTGAATGTGCGGCGAGGGGCCAAGGTTTCTTGTGGCGGAAGGGTGGATAGGTAATGTAGGAGCATTTGCACTATCTGTGTGAAGTTTGGTCTGTCGTTTGGGTCTTCCTTCCAGCAGGATGTTAGGATTTCTGACAACTCAGGCAAGTTATCAGCACTTGGTCTGATATTCTGCAGAAAATAAGGCTTTCATCTGGTCAAATACAAAACACATGTAGTGGTGTAAGAATAAAATAGAGTTCATGTGATGGAACATATTTGAAACACCATGCAAGATATGTGTATATATAAACATACCAAAGCAAATATAACCCAGGGATGCCATCAACAATTCTTCAGGATAACTGACTCATGATTAGAATATCAGGTGTTACCTTGAAAGCAGCAGCGTACGCAGCTTGAAGATTAGACATTCCCTCGAAGGGCAGTTTATTGTGGAGGAGTTCCCACAACACAATTGCAAAGCTGTAGACATCTACTTTGTGGTTGTAATGCTTCTTTTCTCCATGCCTCAATGTTACTGTGCTGTACAACTGAGATATTCCAGGATATATTAATAAATAATAACCCAGAAAATTAAGGATTCAGAAACTGACACATATGAATGCAGTAGAAACCTCTGGAGCCATCCAACGATATGTTCCTGTCTTAGCAGTCATCATCTCTGTTAATGTCTCTTCTCTAGCCAAACCAAGGTCAACAAGTTTTACTGTACTCTGGGCTGCAGTCAGCAACAAATTCGCTGCACGACGTGAAGGGAAAAAACATGGACTCAAGATCAACAGTCTGAATAAATATCTGTCAGGTAGATCCTTAAAAGATGACATGAGACAAAAAATTAGCTCCCAAAAGATGAATACAGACCAAGGAAATTCCTGATAAACTAACTGTCCACAAGATTTCACCAGTGCTTCAATAAACCAAATAAGAAATAAAATGCATTGTTGGACTGAACATATATGATCTGAAATACAGATAATAGTAATCTCTATTGATGAACAAGACTGCATCCCACTGAAATTAACATCTTCAAACTATGCTTATGTCACGACTAAAAAATCATTCAGGACTACTTAATATTTCTTGATGCATTTGGAACAGGAAATGACAGTACACTGGGAAAGTTATGCACTAGCAAAATCTCAGCTAAATGTTATGTTACTTGATAAATTGTAGAATCACGATAAACACTGCAGCTTCACGCTGTCACATACCTGCAGCCCTACCTACAACTGTAACAATCAGTCTGTCTAACAGATAACAGAACCTTGATAAATTTTAATGAATTATTAATTATCCATCATGGATTTATGGTCACACAAGAATGGACCGAGTTAGGAACGATGATATACGTGACCGCCTAGGGGTAGCACCAATTGAAGAAAAGCTTGTCCAACATCGGTTGAGGTGGTTTGGCCATGTCCAAAGGAGACCTTCAGAGGCACCAGTGCATTGTGGAGTCCTAAGCCAAGCTAATAATGTGAGGAGAGGTAGAGGTAGACCGAAATTGACATGGGGGGAGGCAATAAAAAGAGATTTGAATGTTTGGGATATACCTAGAGATCTTTGTTTGAATAGGAGTGCTTGGAAAGCAGCTATTGATGTGAGATCTTTGTTTGAATATGAGTGCTTGGAAAGCAGCTATTGATGTGCCTGAACCGTGATTAGGGGCTCTTGGTGGGTTTCAACTCTAGACTACCCCAACTTGCTTGGGACTGACAGGCTTTGTTGTTGTTGTTGTTGTATTAATTATCCATCATAGAACTACAGCATGCTACAATTAAGAATAGGCAAGGGACGAAAGGTTCTTAGATAACCATGGTATGTCATAGGTTGCCAAAAGTGAGTACAATGACAGTTGGCACTTAACATCTGAACTTCATCTTTGAAGAGAACAGTGGTAGCAGAAATAGAAATGAAGAATAATCACAATGTATAACATAAGACGAGAGTATGCCACAAAATTAAAGGAGTCACTAATTTATTAATCACCAAAACTGGGGAAAAACAGATTTTTTAGAAGAATTATGATAACATAACATTCTACAATCTCAATTCATGTAATGGCAAAATTTACCATAAAATTAAACAAAACATATAAGGAAGCCAAACAGTCAGTTATTATATATAGGATGTAATAGTGTAAGGAGAAGAAACTTCTCATCTGCAAGTTACAACAAGCACATTTCCATCCTAAGCTAGCCCACATGAATCTCATTACAAGATTGATATTCAACTACAGAATTTACTAATCAACTGTTAAAAGGAAGTAGATATTGCAGGTTAATTATTTTTCCGAAGAAAGTAATAAAGATATATACCCACATGGTAAACATGGAGAAAAGGAAAAGGTATATCCACAGTTTGCAGAAATCCACCTAGTAAGCAGTGAATAATATATAGAGCACGCAATGATCAGATCACGAAATGAAAAGTCTTACCAGGCTTAAGATCACGATGGATGATCCCATGTGCATGCAAGCATTCCATAGCTCGGGCAATGTCCAATCCAAACCCCACTGCTACACGAGGCTCAAGGCTCCTAGGTCGGAGACTGACCAAATACTTGCGCAATGCCCCCCATTAGTAGCTCTGTCACCACCACCATGACAGGTTCTAGGCAGGCCCCGATAAACTGTGAAACAAGCAGGAGTAGTTTTCAATAAACAAATGCACTAAAAACCTCCTCTTCCTCTTGGTCATCTCCTTGAGGGGGAAAGAATCAAAATGACTCTGCAAAAGTAGACCTTGACGAGGTTCGTGTGCTGCACCCTTGACAGCATGGTGACCTCTCTGAAGAATCTCCCCTCCCTCTTGGTCATCTCCTCAGGGGTGTCCCCTTTGTGCACAATCTTGATAGCAACATTTTGGTTCTTACACCTGCCAATCCCAGCATCAAATAAGTGCTCGATTAGGAGAAAATTGATAAAATGAATCAGAAAATCGCAGATGATGGATCAAAAAGATGAGCCTTACTTCCCCTCGTAGACCTTTGCATGTGCGCCCTCGCCGATGCGTGGCCCAACAAAGAGAAGCTTCGGATCGATAAGCCACTTGGGATCGATGGCGAGAGCTTCCCCTCCGTAGAACACGGTCCCAGATTCCATCCTTGATGGTGGCTATCTGTTTTGGGTCCTATGGGGTCACATGACCCCACTAGAAACTTAAATAAAAGATCAACTTTTAGAAAGTACTTGAGGTTTGTTAGAAAGGTATTTCAAAGAGAACAGATAGAAAACCTTACGGAACATATAGGTAAAAAGGCAGAGATTTTGTGAATCCGACAAATTTATTTGCTTTAAGAAAGTATTCCAAAGTTAGTTAGCACGAGTAGACCACCTTACAACAAATAAGTAGGGTGCCGTGTATTCTACGGATTCTAGTTTTCCGAAAAATATTGGACGGCAGTAGAAGTAAACAGTGGGTACAAATGGTGGAATACCTCATTAGGAAAACAGTGGGTACAATAGTGGGTAAACAGTGGGTACATATTTCTAACACGTTTTCAATAATTTCAGAAAAAGAAAAAAACAGAATTGTCGAATACACAGGATACTTTTAGTTTATAGTTTTATACCTATATTTTAGAAGTTATTTTTTTAGATAATGGAAAGATTTATTCCGGCTTCAATCATCCCCTGTTGAGGATGCATCAAACCACAAAAGTTACAAAAAAGGAACTACAAAGATAGGCATACGACCTAAAGGCATATAGCCAATACATCTCCTCAACTCCTCCAAAAGATAAAACCTATATAAGAATAATAATAATCTTCAACATGCTCATCATGTAGTCAGATTTTCATGTCTTTTTCATGGCGTCTCCTCCAAAAGAACAAATCTCACAATAAAATGGGTGAAAGCAGAACCTAAACATGAGCCAAATCCAACATAGTTGAAGAACAACTCCAAATGTTGACTGAGCTCTGACCACCAAACTGGGAAACCAACATCACACCGCCTCCGTCCCCAAGGCGCAAGACAACCACTGTTGAACAACGGCGGACATCACACCTCCATCACCTTATGAGGACCCTCTTAAGGCTAGGTCTCCAAGGAGAGAAAGACTATGAAGACGCCGTCGCTGCACGACCGGATAAACCAGAACTATGTTTTCACCCAGATAGATCCACACAATAAGAAGTCAGTAAAGGCCTCAACGGCGCCTCCAGCAAGGGTGGAGCCGATCGGTGGGGTATACCCGACTAGCATCGTCCATGGAACCAACATTGCTATGTCATTCGACCATCGTTGAAGCACCAAAGGTAGGTGCCCGCCGCCGAAACTGGCCTGTAGGGCTGCCATACCGCAGATCCGTTCACAACCAGATCACTGCAACTGTTGGCACCCAAGCAGAAGATCAAGGTCGCCTTCACCTGAGATCGTCACCAGTGGCGTGAAACAGGAAGAAGATAAGAGGCGAGTGGATACAGCGAAGAAGTGTGTGGCCATCTTTTTAGACACCACAGAGGGCCACCGCCACCATATGCCAATCGGCAACCAGGGAAAGGCACTGATCTAGATTTATTGGTGGCAACGGCGGAAGTCCGCCCTATTGCTGTGTGTTTCTGCTTGTAGAAGTTATTTGGGGGTGTTCATCATATATCGGTAAATTTGGATACTTCCAAAAGGTAGAATTCATCAAATATATGGGGCTTTTCTAGGTTGAACCATATTACCTATGTCCAAGTGATGGTATGTACATGAGGCCCAAGTGTACTTTTATAGCAACGATTGAATACCATACAAAAGTAGAATTTGTCGAACACACAATAGCTTTGTACACGTTAAGAAAACCTCACAGGAAATGGCTGCGTGCTAGAAGGTCCTGTGTATTTGGCAACATCTACTCTGAAAGCGTTCACAAGTTTAGTACAAAAGGCACAAACATAGAGCACATCAGCAGAAATGGATGCAACAGAATGATCGTGCACATTCGACTAAATTCCACATCAAGCTCACACACCATGATAGTTAGTACCTCTGAGCACCAAGAGAAGAACTAGAATGTTGACCAGAGGAGTAAAAAGAATTAAGTACTAGAAGCCTAATAATAAATTCCATAAACACTGAAAATGGAGGGGTGCCTAAACTGAACCAGTGGGCGGCTTGAATGCAGTCCGGAGCAAAACTACAGCAATTTAAAACTAAGCCGCTGTTCTTTTTTTTTTTGTCATGTCAACCAACTATAAAAGAAGGGCAGGCCTGGTGCAGTGGTGAGAGCTGTCTCACTGAGTCACCAGGTCGTGGGTTCGAAGCAGCCTCTCCGCAGATTTTGCGGGGGAAAGGCTTGTCTCGGTTTATCCCTTCCCCAGACCCCACTCATGTGGGAGCCTCCGGCACTGGGTCTGCCCTTTTTTATGTCAACCAACTATAAAAAGAGCGTACCCAGTACAGAGAGCTCCCGCTCTGTGTGGGGTCTGGTGAAGGGTGTCAGTGGCAAGCCTTACCCTCGCCTGTGCAATGCGAGGAGACCGCGACTCGAACCCAGGACCTTCCGGTCACAGGCGGTAAGACTCTACCGCTTGCACCAGGCCCGCCCTCCATGTCAACCAACTATCACGAAACAAAAATTGCACGCGCCATTGCATCACTAGGTGATCACCCACACGATCTGGACCTACTCTTGACGGCAATAGACATGCTTGGCCCGCGCGATCCTTCCAAAAGAGCCACCTTTTATGGGCGGCTTCTACAATAAGCACACAACTTAATTTAGGAGGCATACCCAGTATACACCCAATAATTTCTTGCATAAAGAAAATGAAAAATCGAAGTTTGTAGGCACAATACATGTATACTACACTTATAATTGGATCAGATCAGATCCGAATACAAATAGCTTGGGTTTGGGTGCAGAACGGAAGACTAGAGGTGGGCATACCTGGTGGGTACTCGTCGCCGGCGAAGGTCCCAAAGATGGAGGCCTGGGCACCTGGCGTAGGGCGGCGGTGGCCGCCCAGTCTCCAGCCGCAATACAACAAAGGTGGCAGCGACGGTCACTCACACAGAGCACTGATCGTTTTCCTTCCAAGTCTCCAGCACCTGCTCTACAGCGATCACCTCAATCAACTGTACTTGTACATCTAGGGAGGAAAGTTTGGACACTGGCCTCATCTGTCCTAGAAATTAGAAAAGCTGGATCGCCGTTCAAGTCGAATCCCGGGGATCTAGTTCAAATTTGAACTGGATCCTAGGAACTCCGAAGCACATCTTTTCTTTCAAGCTGATTCAGAATTCCAGATTGAAAAATTTAAACGGTCCAGATGTTCGTTCGATGGACCATACGCAAAATTTGCAGCATGTGAAAAATTGAATTGAATTATATACGATGTGCTTCCATACAACGCATTGTCCCCTAGCCCCTAGCTGATCTTTTATGTGAGGTCCAATACACGAAAGACGCAGCTAATGTGGAAAAGAATGGAATAGCCTGGCATACAGATACAGCCATACAGGGATAATCTAGACAAGACCCATCAGCTTGACCAAATTTTTAAAGGGCTCTACCACAACTACAGTATTACTAGTGGATATGAGAATCAACTCATCGCCGTTTGTACAAGCACGGTTTCAACTGGGGCCAATCGATGCTCTTTGCCACTTTACTTTTTTCCTGCAGGGGCTTGGTAAGCCACTGAAGTCAGCATGAAGGCCAAGTGATCTAGATAGTTAAGGTAGCAACAAGTGAAACAAACCTTTTTCCTGAAGTAGAACAGAATGGACATTTTATTTTTCGCATCCTGCAGAAACGATACCAACAGCCAATTAGAAAGTATCATCAGAATCATCTATTATTAAGCAAATGAAGTGTAATCTTTCATCATCAATAAAAAATGTACTGTATATCAGAAATTATAAAGGTGCCAGAATGGAAGGGACTGAACAAACTTCTAGTCAATTACAGAGGTTCACATGCAAAACATGGCAATCACAAATCAAAGCAAACGTTTCACAAACCAGCATTGCATACCAACTCCGCAAATAGTAGTTAACAAACAGATTAGTTCTCTGGTGTATTGCAAGGATGCAACGAGCAAAGCTCTCAGAGTCATAATCTAATATTACTCGATACATTGGAGCCACATAGCGCCATCATATATTTAGGTAATCCAGCTATTTTCATTCTACAGGACATAATGTCCTGTATGATACAATGTAGTTGTGCCTGTCACATGGTATTTACTGCACCACCCACGCTAGTTTGTGTTAGACATCACACAAGCCATAACAAAAAATAAACCAGGAGACAACAATGAATGGCAAGGAATGGATCATGCAAGCAAGATAAATTAATTTTCACATCGAATTGAAGAAATTCACAGACAAGCATTTGAGTTGCTCTTTTTAATACGTTATAACAAGAGGCAGGCGGAGCGCGTTTGTCCTCTCAAGGAGGCTCTAGAGAATTATGTCCTGATCAGCCACCCTTCATATATATAGGGTTGGCCCATTAGGCCACTAAAACATATTCAAGCTTTACAACCAACCTCAACTAACCTAGTAACCGAGGCTAACTAATCTCCTAACAATTAGTTAACTTCCAATCCAACTCTATCTCTAAGAGCAACTCCAAGAGCCTTTTTATACCCTTCCTAATGGATGGGAATAGAGATTTTGGTGAAAAATACCCTCCAACAACTTCTTTAATTAGATCTCCAAATATAGCTATCCTCTATTCCAGATTTCCCGCTAGCTAAAGATGGTGTGCAAGGCTTGCTCTCTATAGTGCATACAAGATATAGAGAAGTTGTTGGAGGGTGGAAAGATATAGAGAGCGATCTTTATTCAAATGGCTCTCCAAATGACGATTCGAGAAAAAAAATGTGATGGCAAGATGAAATCTTTCTTTTAGTATTATCAGATACTGGTGTTAAAGCAAGAAAGAATAAAATAATAACATACCACATCAAAAAGATTAGGGTCATTTTTGAAGTAGTCAAACACATCCTCTCCACTGAGAAAGATAAAGAATATATATGTGTGTGAAAATGTGAATGAAACATAAAAAAGTGAAGCTCTGTTGTCTATGGATTCCAAGGTCTAACATACCTTTTAGTAATTCAGTACAGTATGCTTTACTAATGATAAGGCAACCAGCATATAAAGTCTTATGAGGGAATTGTTAGCATTAGCAAATCACAGAAAGTTGGAGATAATGAGACACAATATCACTATCATGAACAATCAGTATTTGTACAGAGAATAGGAGCTAACGAGACAACCATGTATGTATTGTCTAATGAATTAACGATTGTCATATGCAATCACAGAAAGTATAGCATTCAAGCCAGTCAACATTAGAAATAAACCAAAAAGAAGTGTGATGTGTAGAATGCGAACCTGCAAGTGTATAGCTTCTCGTTTAACATTCTGAAATGGCCACCAGATAACCTTGCACGCATCTAAGGTGTCACCAAACAACAAACAGATTAGTTAGTTCACCGAAAACAATGAAATTATTATGAAACAGGGATAAACCCCATAATGAAGCCATATAGATGCAAGTCAGGTTTAAGTGTTCAACAACTCCTGCCATCAAGAATCCACAGTTTGCTAAATTTATCAAGTAGAACCAAATGAACACCAACTGTGAATCTTTTGTGCGAATTAGAGCATTGCACAGAGGATCAGGCTTTCCTTCATTTAGCTATGTTTTTTTCTTCTTCTGCAGCTTGTCATAATCAGAAATGCATAAGGACTACCAGCACAATGCCACAATAATTGGCCATCATACTATATAAAAACACTAATATATTAATCAACACATAAAGCACACTTGTTAACACTGGCGTCACATATATAGATTTTTGACCCCAATACGCAGCCGAGAGATTCGATATAGTTTGCACCCCAAACCTTCTACTGCACCACTGAATACTCCCTCCAATCCGGTCATCCGGGTAAGATAGATTACCTTGTCGAGTAGGCTCGAGTTGTTGCCTCTCTTCGGCATGGCGATGGCCTGGCCAGCGACGTCCTTACGCCGCCGCTTGACTGGTGGGGACGCCGGCGTTGCGGGCGCAGCCGCTGGAGGAAGCCCCTTCTGCGAGGAAAGCCCTTTGCGATTCCGGACGCCTCCTCGCCGGCGGCGCTGGCCGACTCTTGCGTTGGATCCATGGGAGCGGGAGATGGCTGCGCAAGCCGCGAGGGTTGCCGGAGTTCCGGGTTCCACGTTTCCGGTGGGGCTGAAATTTTTTTCGAGGGGATTTCGGCGGGCCTGATACTGCTGATGATACTGGGCCGGAACACCTTTGGGCCTAATGCCATTCCTTGGGTGGGCCAAAAATGTACCTTTATTAATTTTTGCGAAAAAAACTTTAACCAGTATGAATATTCACACTTTTTTTTCCCTTTAACCAGCAAATGATATTCACACTGCATCTGGGCCTAGCCGTGCGTTTTCATTGTTGCTGTCGACGACGGCGACCCGGAGGCACGGTCAATTGCTTAGCCCAAGCATCCAGCAGAACCAGCTTTGAGCTTGCACGCCAAGAAGAGCCAGGCTCTGACACTGACACGCTTCGTCCAGTCACGCCAAATAAATGAGCCTCTTCTCTCCTTACCGCCTCGGCGACAAACTACAAACCGAATACAGGTGACAAAAAGAAATCAAGGGGCCCCACTCACCAGTGGGTCGTAGGCAACGCCCGCGGTCGGTCCAGCGGGCGAGGAGATCCCGACTTGCGCCCAAAGAAGATGCAGGATCCAGGATTTAACCGGAGTTTTCTATTCCACGAGCTTATCCACATACATCGTCACTGACATAGGGTCCCACATACGGGTCCCGCCAAGACAAGCGAGCTGAACAGGACCCCAGCAGATTCGAAATTCACGGGCAGGCCCCTGGACCCGGGGAAAGAGAGCGGTGGTTCAGCCACTGACGTGCGGGCCCGGCATTAAGTCCCCAGCCGCACCGCCTAGAGAGCTAGAGGTATCTCTTCGCGTGGAAGCAAACGAGGCGTGATAAAGAGGGGTTCCGGTGTCCCGGCGTTGCCCGCATCGACTCGCCACGCACCACCACCACCACAGCTGCGGCTCACGGCTACGCAGCCCGCTCTCCCGACTCCCCCGTCCCCTCCTCCTCCTCTCCTTGCTGCTAGCACCTAGAGTTTCGCTCGAATCGATCGCCGACTGACTCCGCTAGGGTTCGGCCCGATCGCCGCTTCGTCCTCCCGGCTCCCGCGGGGACCCCGCCGCGATGTCTGACCGGAGCTCGTCGGCTGGGCCGACGTTTTTCCCCTTTGGCCCGCAGGCCGAGGCGTGGGACGTCACTTTCAAGGTGAGGCATCCGACCGAAAAACTTGTGTTTCCGTACTTTGTTCCTTTGTGATGATATGTGGACGGTACTCGGTAGTGGCGCGAGGTGCGGCTTGTAGCTTGTAGGGTGATCGATTTGGGGAGGCCGGGAGCTGGGGTTTTTGTGTTGAATTGTCAATCGGCCGTAGGAGTAGTGCGGATTCGGGGTTTCATCGACGGAAAGAGGGGTTTTCCGTTCTCTTGGTGTGGTTATAGGATGGTTCTAGGGTTTTACGACTTGGGTTTTGCGATTGGTTTGTTTGTGTAGGTTCTTTTCGTTGGTGAATGAACACGTATTTTGGTCTCTATGGTTTATCCGTGAAGATGATGGTGGTGTGAGACCATGATGTAGATTGGGTCTTTTTTTGTCGCATTATTATAGTAAAAATCGTGAGGATGCACCTATATCTAACTTTTAGCGCTTAGGGTATTGTCCTTATGAAATTTACTCCTACTTGGTACGATGTGATCTTTGAATCACACTATCAGACTATTGTAGATGAGATCCTCTCTTTGGGCTTTTAAAATAGCAAGGAAAAGAAATATTTTGGGCAAGTTAAAGTCGTGTATTATTCAGAACGAGATCTGTTTACCTTCTGATAAGATTGATGTTTTGGTCCACAATATGGTTGTGTAGATCTTCCAATTTATAGTGTGTTTGCAGTATATGCTTGTGTAGTTTCTATCTGTGCGTTTTGTGGACTGAAGCACAGAAATGATATATTTTCAAAAAGTTTTAGGCAGAAGGGGAACCTAAGGTTTGTTATTACCAAGTTACAGTTTGTAGCGCTTGCCTCTTTTCTTCTGTTTGAGTATATGAGATTCCGGTCATGTAATTGTTTCAAAATAATAAGGTTGCATACATTGCACACTACTTCCCAGCCCTATGCATACTAGTTGAACAGTGTTGGTCAATATATTTGCTGGTGTCTCGTGTGATTGTATTGACTATTGTGCGTCATATGTCATATTAAGTTTCAATGTCCTTCAGTTAGACAAACTTATTTCGTTTGTATGATTCCACCATTTAAGGGCTTGTTTGGAACTTTGGATGCACATGTATTTACGTCAATCCACATGTGTTGGAGTGGATTGGGGTGGAACTTAGTTTCCAACACACATAGATTGAGTGCATCCAAACAAGGCCTAAGCTCGCTAAACAGTCCTTCCTTTGCATACCCCTCTATGGTCAAGCCTGCAGACCTACAATTTTACTCCCTCCATCCCAAATTATAAGACGTTTTGGCTTTTCTAGATACATTGTTTTTACTATATATATATCTAGACATAGTGTATATCTAAGTACATAACAAAAGCTATGTATCTAGAAAAGCCAAGACATCTTATCTTATAATTTGGAATGGAGGGTGTATATGTTTATCTAGGTTGTTCTTACCTATTGTTCTTTTTATGTGTTTCATTCAAAACATGGTTGGTTAGAGCTTTTTGTTCTTACATGTAGTCTATACCCTAACTAATTTCTGTTCCCACAAAGGCCTTAGCCTAACACACCTTGCTTGGGACTAAAAAGGCTTTGTTGGTATTAGAGAGCTTAGGTCTCGGGAGGTCAAATTAACAAGCTTTTGTGTCCACAACTTATATATGATTTATGTTCTGACTCAGGCTAATTATCATAGCACTGTTTTGATGTTACCTTCTGCTGTTATTATTATTATTATTATTATTCACTACTAACTACTGTTTGCAAAATGATATCATCTTTTTGTTAATGAGTCTCTCTTCTGATTGCAACTTATCAGATCTTTTCTTTTTGATATTTCAGGTCAAATATGGTGATACACTTAAAAGGTTTTATGGTTGTGTCAATGGGAATCATTTTGACATGAATTTATCTGCTCTGCGGGCAAAGATAGTTACTGCCTTTAAGTTTGGTCCTGATGCTGACTTCGTTCTGACTTACACCGATGAGGATGGTGATATTGTCATGCTGGATGATGATGATGACTTGCGTGATGCAGCTCTGCGTCAGAAATTAAACCCTCTGAGGATTACTGTTCAACTGAAAAAAAATCAACCAACTGAAAAAAAAGATGCCTCTGCACCTGTGAAACCCACTACTCAGGATCCACTATCCCAGATAATGTCAGCTATTGAAGGTTTGAAACCTGTTCAGGAAGATAGTCTGGCTCATATAAAATCAGCCATTGGTGAAGCAATCAAGTCTATCCCAGAGCCAATACCTGATGCCCTTGCTAAACTCTCTCATGAAATACTTGATGCAGCACCGCCACCATTAGCTGAGCTGATGAAACCTTTTGCACAATTGATGGCACCAAACAGTAATGGCAATGGGCCATCTCATGTGCATGCTGAGGGGTCATCTAGCTCTTCCAGTGGTGTGACCCAGACACAGGCCCCGGCTCCGGCCCGGGCTGAATCTAAAACTGAGCCCAAAGTTAAGCCGAGTTTGGGTCTTAGGGCTGTGTTAAAAGAGGCTGCTGCACCTGTTCCTAACGCTGGAGCTTCTCAAGTTCAACAGCCATCCATGTACCCATCTGTTGAGGAGTTGCTGTTCCCCTGTAATTCAGTTGACAAATCTGTTTGCAAAGGGAAGACTGATGCTCAAAATAAGGGCAAATCTGTTATGTCCTCAGTCACCCAACC